AACTACAACTAAAAAATAAATATTTTTTTTAAAAGTTAGGAGGATCTACCAGTCCCTTCCAGACACATCAGAATGACTGCTTTTTTTATTCTTGGATAAAAACCTCTCTTCCTAAGGCTCATGCTTTCCTTCCTTCAGCCCAATATCAACACATATTTATTGTGTGCTTACTGGCAGACTAAAAATTATTTGATTTAATTTCACTAAAATAACCACTAACAATCAACATTCACTCAATGCTACTTTGTGGGGATCACAGTGCCATTATCTCATTTAATGTTCACAATGACTCTTTGAGGTAGACTCTATTCTACCTGAATTTGCAGAATAAAAAATAGGTAAATTAAGCAAATCACCCACAGATATAGAGCTAGTGAGGGGTAGTACTGGGAGTAGTCAGCAGAGTCTAATATGCTATGTTACGTGATAAAAATATGAAGTAATATCTTATTTCATAACACATTTTAAAAATATCTTCTAATGCAACCCTATGTTTTTTAGGACTTGAAACATCCAACTAAGAAGCCTAGGGGGTAGATGGGCATCATGGAGCACACCTGTAATCCTCACTACTCTGAAGGCTAAAGCAGGAGGACTGCAAGATCAAGGCCAGCCTAGAACTCAAGTTTTTGAGACCCTGTCTCAAAACACTTTTAAAAAAGAGGTGGGTATTAAGGGGGTAGGGTGCTTGTCTAGCATGTCGGAGACCCTGGATACAATCCTCAGAATCTCTACCACCACCCCCCAAAAAAAGAAATAAATAAAACCTAGAAGTTAGACTGCATCATATCCTAACAGCAGCAGAATTATAATGTCAAAGGAGGCCCTTTGGCCCTGCAAATCTTAAACAAGTCACATAGGGACTTTGCACTTCCCTGGCCTCCAATCTGCTATTTGATTACCTACTCTGTATCTCACACTTTCTATCTAAAGATAATTTTTAAAATACAAGAATCTTACATGTAGAAGTACTGTTCATTCATTTCAATGTGATTAATATTCAATTTAGAATACTGGTATTCCTAAAATCTTTAAAAACTGTGTTTTATGTATAGGTACTAAAAAAGACTTTATTACTAAAGCCAGGTCAACATGTTGAAGATATATCAGTAATAATTTGAGAAAGGCAAAGATTTGGGGGAAAGCAGTTTCCAGTTATGCTGAAACGTGCTCAGTTCCAACAAAACAGTTCAGAGTAAAGAAGGAAATGAAGGAAAGAAAAACTCAGTTAGACAAGAATAGCAAGACAATAGCTGTTTGCATGTGATTTTCAGAGTGACGCTGTTACAAGAGTGACTACTGGGAAAAGAAGGTGTGACAATGTTCACAGGTAACTTGCTTATGTCAAAAAATCCAATGCTCAAAATCCAATCCTTTTCCTGACAGCTCCACTCTCACTTTTAGCTCCTTTGAATTCTGTGCCTTGAGCAAATAGTGCAAACAAGCCATATCATTTCTGACTTGTTTCTTTTCCCTGTCTTCTGAGGTATTTCAAGGGGTCTCTTCTATTTTGCCCACTAAAGTGTAATTGCTCTTGAGTTGACCAGATTTCTGCTTCACATATCTATGCAATCAATCATTGCAACCTGCCACATTCTGCCAAATAGTGGGGATAGAGCCATGTGCTGGCAATGCAGAACAATGAGGAACACACAAAAGGCCTTTCCACACACCATACAAAAGGCCAGTGTTTCAGTTTTATGCACTTTGCATTATACTTACTCACATTAACAAGACTGACAAATTAGAGATTTGGTAGAAGCTGTTTCTTAGAAACTTCTTTTTCCCTAGGAAAGAAGCCTGTGTGAAGCAGTTTCAACATCCCTGGAACAAAGAAGGCACTTGGGAAATTCTGGTAAACCTCCCTCCAAGCAGAAATCTTGGAGATTTCTTTAAAGCACATGACAACAACAGCAAAACACAGAGTGAACCCAGCCAATTGCAGAAGTCACCACACACACAGAGCACAGTGCTCAGAGGGCTGTCAGTCAAGAGTGAAAAAAAGAGAGGAAATAGAAACCTACATTTGTGGATGTGAGGACTTAAAATTCATATTCATGGGTCAACTACTCTTTTTTTCCAAAACATTTTAATTGACATCACAAAATTCGAAAAAGCTAATAACAGCTCTTGGAGCCAAATACTTTTCTAGCTATCTCCTCTAATATTTCATGTAGTCCTCTGTAAATCTCTAAAGGTGGAAACAAGTATCTACTTTCACAAAAGGAAAAACAAGGGTTAAAGGGGTAGCATGACCTACTCAAATCTCACAGTTATTATGAAACAGTTTTGATTCTCATCCAGACCCACCTGATACCAAGATCCATGGCTACCCTGCCTGGTTGCTTAGAATGACACAGGGTCTTTACAACAAATAAAATCACAAGCTCACTGCAATGTCACCTCCTGGAGCAAAATTCATAGATGGCAAACAGATGGGCTAGCCTCAGACAAACCCCAAATATGAATCCTCTAAAAATAGGAAGTCACCACATATCCTTCTCAGCTCTGTCATCACCATGGAAAATCACTCTCCATAGCCTGAGATAGGAGAAAAGAACTGAGGTTGGGGCAGTCACTACTTCAAGCAAGGTGCAACATTAAATTTCTCCATTGATAGGGATTCAGGTATTCCAATTTGTCTAAACTGCAGACAATCTTTATTTGTATGGCACTTATGCATAGATACCAGCACTTTAACCCAGAGAATTTTTGATCACCATTTAATCATCTAGAAAGACATCACAAACCAATGAGTACAGAGAGGTAAGCACCAGATAAAGGGAAAGCAATAGCAGTGAATATAATTTACTAAAATACTATAGACATATCCTCCCCCATTAAACATGCACATACCTTGAACCAAACATAACAACATTCCTCAAATGAGTAGACTAAGGAGGAAACAAAGACATGCTTTTGGGGGGTTCAAGTAAAGCCTTCCTTGAATTTCTCCACCTATTCACAATACCATACATGAGTAAGTTCAAATAAGGCAATGATCCGTGTCTTCCCATGATGTGACTCAAAAAAGAGAACACTTTCCTCCCAACAGCTAGACTCCAAGAAAACCAGAAGAGGGTGGGAAGGCAGGTCACTGAGCACATACCAAGCAGCCAACACCTAGGAACTAACAGTATAATTCTGAGTCACTAGGTCAAGGCAACAACAAAGGAAAGACTGGAGGTCAGAATGGCCTGGGGAAAAGGAAGCAGCCAGGAAGCGGCCATGCCAAGGGGCCAGAGGATGGCACAGCAGCCCAGAGAATGCTGGAGAGTTCTCCATTCCAGCTCTTGAATAGAACCCCTAGAGGAGAATGGCAGCTATCATCAAATCTTCCCCATTTCCCCCAAAGGCAGAAAAGAGTCAACACACACACACACA